ATCAAACATTCGAGCCCTAGCTGATGTAGCAAATGAACTAAATATGATTTCGTTGTAATGATACTTTTAATGCAGAAAGCACTCAAATTAACCACTAGGTGGCGATATGTGCAGCAGCTCTATATGAAGCCCATAATCAAATTAATGTAATAGTGCTTTGATACAATAATATTTATAACTTAGCACTCACCAACCAGTCAATTAATAATCCTAAAACGTTTGTTGTTAATTGTGCCAAATTTCCCTATATCATCCTGGGGGCAGAAATAATAGTTGGAATATAAACATCTAGTAATATACTTTATTTACATAAGAACAATAATAGGATTAGACAATGCATAATTACACTTCCATATCACACAAGACATTTCAGTCGCACATATATTATACAACACATGCTCACGCGAGATACGTACATCAACCTTATTTCATCAAAATTTCCTATTATATAATATCAACAGATTTTTAATATCACGGAGAAGCTATTACACTCGCAAAACTTATTATAGTCTTACAAGCTTTACAACATCGGAATAATGACGACGGGATAGAGTAACTTCTGTGAAAGCCATTCATCAGTTCATCATATTGTTTACAATTTTGTAACTATCACGTGTTACATCTCCAACACATGCGCATCAACTCACTGTAGGTTTTATGTTAGAAAAGTAAATAGAAACAGTGGTGGCAAATTCAATGCACGTCATTTAAACTTTCATAGGTTAGTAAAAACTATTACTTTCAGGTGTATAATAACATAGACGGTGATGTAATTAGAATTTACTAAAATTACCATCAGAAGTGACGAACAACTTATAATAATAAATAAATAATTAGAAGCTGTCATTACAAGTAAATTCATAGTGTTTAGTGTTCGCATCAAGTGTATTGCGACGATATATACTACACTCTGTCTCATGACTTGCCATTACTTTATTCTCTACTTTACACCTTACAATTAGGAATTAATAGCAGTTTTTCGCAGTTGAAAGAAATTCTGGCATTAAGGTAGGTAACATTATGTGTCAACTGGAACGTTAACAGCATCCATGAATCACCCAATAGGAGGAAAATGGTGTTGATAAGCTGTTAGAGTAAGATAAAAATATGTAGTAGCTGGAAGGCAAATATTTGAAGATAGAAGTACAAAAAGGCCATACGATTCATTGACATCAGTGCAATTGGAAAATAATTTCCCTTAACAAATTTCATATTACGCATCATACAGATATCCTTTATACAGTTTTTATACATTACGTAGTATTTATATCACTACATAAGGATCACGATAAACTTCACGATTTTTGCACAAATTGGCAGCAGGTGGCAGCACATGCCTATATGAAGAATTTCCAGTAGACGATTCCTACTAGCAAGGCAACTTCCAAGAGGATGACAATGATCAAAATCAACTTGTTCGTCATCACTCTGAAATAAAGGATCATATCTGATGAGTTACAGCAATGCCCACACCAGACTATGGCTACAAAAATAAACTTAATGTCAACGACAAGTATCCTGCCAGTCAGATATACACCACTATATATTCCACATTCACTTTTGGGTTTGGATATTATTGCACAATATATAAATAATTCCATGAACACATTAAAAATTGCATTGCGATATTCGTGGTTATATATATACATATACATCAGATTGTGAATGACCAAGTATCGAGTTCGCTTTGCTTGCAGCAGAAACTGTCTAAACGAGGGATATGCGGCTTCAGTAAAAAAACGCTACTCTGCTCTCTTTGGTAGACCGAGACTAAAACTCAGAATATAGCAGATGAGTTTCCAGAAAACATATGATAATTCCACCCACGTACAATCCTAATGATAGTCGAAAAAATGCATCACCGGCACACGGAATATGAAAAAAAAACGTAACACGTATAAACATACAATGCAGACATACACTATATCGAAGAACAAAACTTACTATGAAAGCCGCCTACATTGCATAAAATTGCGATGCACAACACAATTCTACCCGCGTGTGATGTAGACAAAGCGATTTTGAATGTCGGTATATATCAAAGACAGTTAATCATTACGTTCATCTGCTCCTTCGCGATAAGGTGGACGCCGCATACAGCACATTCATTATGTAATCTTCTACTCACAATCTTCAGCACATAAACCCCCCGTATCCTGCATGTTGACTAAATTTTCCTATAGTCTGTGTCATAACACCGTGACATTGACCATATATATACGAGTCACAATCTACACAGTGAAATACCTGAATCCTACATGTGTAGAAAATTCTGTAAGGCCGTGTCATACACCGACATTCCATATGCGTACATAGAGTTCACAAATAGACATCATGTGAACTACCTGTAAATCCGCAATGTGTATAGAACTTCTGGTAAGCCAGTGGCATATCACGCGACATCCAAATATATAACGTTCAACGAAAATCGTACACCACTGACCCCCCGTATCCCGGAGTAATCAGTTACTCCGTGTTGCTGCACGATTTCGAGCGCGGCGTGCAGAGTCAGGTCCGCATTCGAAACGGATATACCCTTGACAGACCGTCATCCACACCACCGCTCGCTTGTACTCCGTAGACTGTAGAAAACCAGAACGAAGAATAGGTATACGTACTATCAATCCTCAGGACCTGGATCGCAAGGCTGCTGAAGCCTGCATTCAGGACTACAGCCATGGGTGCAGGAGTTACTTCTCCTCACCGTTGGACAAGCGGCCCCTCGTCCATAGCGCCCCCACCTCGCTGTTATCCGACTCATAAATGTAAAATCCGCATTGTCAAGCGGAAAGATGCACTTTGTACAATTCGACATCCTGTAATTATGATAAATCGTACACTAACTTAGCTGCTGCACCGAGTACCACCTCCCCAACCAACTTGTCGCTACTTTTGTTACTAATTCTGTACTGCTATTCTACCTATAGCTGACTTTGTTCGTTATCACCCCCGACAAATGTACATGTAGTACTCTTGAAAAATATACCATAGTACTCTGGACTGTTTGCGTGGCAGCACGTGTGGTTCTGTTTCGTGGGTGTTTCATGGGTGAAGGTGGATAGTGTTGATTCATGGCCTTGTTCTTGCAGCTTGTAGAAACTGATCAGAATCTGTCCAGGAGTAGAAGGATACTAAGAACTATGTACAGAAGGTGAGATATCTATATATATATATATATATACATAAATCAAGTTCAGAGTTTTACTATTTTGAATAATTAATATAGGTATATATATATCTGGGGTGAATGATTTTTACCTGGTAAAATTACCATTAAATTTTCATATCGTTA